GTGTATTTAAACCGAGTTCAAGTGTACCCTTTTGAGCGGATTTAGTCAGACCTATTCACACTCTCCGCTGGTTCTTTTATCTCACCCTCAACGTGCTGGTAATTTTAATCCAACTCCGTACTTTTAGTCAGCAATGCTCTTCATCCAGTACCTATCGGAGTCTAACTCTGGCCCAGTAGGATCCATCTTTTATCTCCCAGCCCCCAAAAGTCTGGATTCTCAAGCAGGATGGAGAACTAACTTGACACACTGCAGTTTCCCTTGTCACTGTGCGGCATGTACACCGTGCAAATCTCATGGACAAGCCTTTACCTGTGTACTGCCAGCCAACTATGTCTGATCTCCGTCACATCTCTCGCTTTTCTCTCCATAATGCCAAGGCTATGACTTTCCTATGTTCTTATGCCTTGTGTGCCAACTCCCAAATGTTATAATGGTTATACGTTCTTTGATTAGGTGCACTGTAGAAGTCTCCTCTTGATTTTCAATTTCTTCTACCTGGCCTCCTCCTTGCGATTTATTTTCCCGAATTTAAAAATATTACTTTGATCTAGTCGCCTTCTTTTTGCTGATTTTGCTGTTTCCTCATCACATCCGAACTTGCTTAACAATGTGCAAAGTTTTCGTTAAACCTACCGTTTTCAGGTCTCATGTTACTTTGATTTCTTTCAATCAGGATATTGATGACCTACTGAGTCTTGCGCTTACGTGTATTTGCACCATAAGTAGTAAGTTTTGCTATCGAGTTCCAGTCGAATTTATGTCCAGAACGTGCAGTGTGTTCCGCTATTTCGGATCTTTCCGTATCCATATTTAGGCAGATTCTTTAATGTTCCTTGATTCGTAGGCTGATTTTTCTTCTTATTTTACCAATATTCGTCTGCTCACGATCGTCGAATTATATACGATAAACTCACCAGCAATCTCGTTTGTCACTCTTCTCGTAATGCTTAGGCAGGCTGGTCAAGAGGGTTGTCTTCTCCTTTGCTATCATCTGGAGATTCTGTTTTATTAGTAACGTCATAATTTTTGACTCAGTTCACAGGAGAACAGGCATATCCATTTTATGCGAAGAAAAGTTGGGTTTCGAGGAACCTCTTGGCTCATAATTATTTAGGTTACTTCCATTTCGAATGAAAGTGCTTGTTGAAGAGATTCGAAGGTCGATTTCACAAGAAGACGACGGCGGATTCCCATTGACCAGCTGTCGATTGGCTTTACTGGAGAATTCATGGTGAAGCTGTTTCCGAGGTAACCTCCTTCGATTCCGGTGAAAAGGTGCTAAGCTTTCGTCCGTCATATAATGAACATCATCAGAGCGAGGTATCATCGTCCCAACCAAATTCAAGCTAACGAGTCAAGAAAACCCATCGGCAAATCCCTAAAAAGCGGTATATATACTCTATATCTGGCCTATTTAATCAGATATAAAGTAATTTGGTTAGTTACGGTCATAGGTGAACTTCAAAGCCTGTGAGTGTATGCGTATGTGCCGTTTGTATTCGCTTATGCACGAAATCCGCAGTGATGGCTGGAAGTAATTAGGACAGCAAAAGTAACGTCTGTTTTCTGCCATCAATATTTGATGACCTTCTAATCTCTTCACCAAACACTTTCACTCGAAATGGAAATAAGCTCAACAATATCCATTCTATTCTTCCTCCCAATTACTAAGTTTACTTCCATAGCATTGTAGTTGATATTTGTCTTTATGGGGAACACGTTAGTCAGGCAAATTCGAGTCTCTTTATCTAATTCTTCGTCACAGAACTCCATTTTCGTTAGTCTTAAGTTTTTAATGATATAACTCCTCACTATTCCTACATTATTCTGTAGTTACGATGAGACTGCAAATTGAAGACTATCCTCACTTGTGAGTTCTTTCTGAATAGTCACCTCTTGTGTGTCCCGTTGAATAGTTTGCATACATGCTGATGATGCGGGTTATTAACGGAAGTTTAGTCTGTATAAGTAAGGCCTATAGAGAAAATATTTTCTATGCATATCATGTCCTCTTTTCACTTCCACGCGTCTAGAATCCGTTGCCTCAACCAAACACTAAAGAGGTTGTTTGACCTTGTTTTCGCAACTTGGTCATATTGGTAGGAAAACTTAGAGGAACGCACCTAGTCCGGGATCCATTGTCTGCATGATCATTTCCAAAGTTGAACCGTGGACGTGGTACAT